TTTCCTTTCTTCATTCTGTAGACACTGGAAGTAACAGTCTCCTCGGAGGTTTGGTATGAAGAATAGATCTAAAGGAGGTTAGCATGATGTCTGACCCAGACTGGTAGCTACTATTATTCTTGCTGTTACAATTATTGGTGGATACATTTAAGCATATTAGATATATCTGACAGGCTGTGTGCTTTTTGAGAACAGAGACTATTTGGTTAGTTTTCTATTACCTTCATATTCCTCCTAGACATTTGATCAATGTCCCTAACGTTAGGAATACAAAGATGTGTATATGTGGGTTTTAAGATTTATTTATTTTTTTGAAAGAGTTAGAGATCTCCCATCTGCTGGTTCACTCCTCAAGTGGCCACAATGGCCGGAGATGGGCTGATCTGAAACCAGGAGCTGGGAGCTTCTTCCAGGTCTCCTGCACGGCTGCAGGGGCCCCAGTACTTGAGCCATCTTCTGCTGTTTCCTAGGTGCATTGGCATGGAGCTGGATCAGTAGTAGAGCAGCTGAGCCTCAAACTGGCACTCCTATGGGATGCCAGCACCTCAAGCAGTGACTTTACCCACTATGCCACAGCACCGGTCCTGTATATGTATGTTTATATGTATATATGCTATGGATCTTCAAAAAAATCATGAAAAATAGAATTTGAAAAAAGAGTGAGAATAAGAGAGGGAAGAGATGTGCAATTCGGGACATGTTCAAGCGGACTTACCTCAAACAGTAGAGTTAGAAACATATCAGGGGATTCGAATTCAATCCCATCAAGGTGGCATGTACCAATGTTAAGTCCCAGTGATCAATTTCTGTTCACAATTGATCATAATGATAGGACAAAGAGCCAAAGGGATCACATAAACAAGAATAGTGTCTGCAAATACTAGCTGATAGAATAAAAAAAAAAGGGAGAGAATGATCCAACATGGGAAGTAAGATACACAGCAGACCCATAGAATGGCAGATGTCCTAAACAGCACTCTGGCCTCAGAATCAGCCCTTAAGGCATGCGGATCTGGCTGAAAAGCCCATGAGAGTATTTCAGGCATGGAAAGCCAAGACACTCTGGGAAAAAAAAAAAAAAAAAAAAAAAAAAAAAAAAAAAAAAAAACTAAATGGAAGATCTCCGTGAGTGAGATCCCAGTGGAAAGAACGGGTCATCAAAGAAGAAGGTACCTTTCTCTGAAGGGAGGCTAGAACCTCCAATTTGACCATGGCCTTGCCTAAATATGATCAGAGTCGGTGAACTCAGGGGGCTTCCATAGCCTTGGCAGCTCATGACAAGAGCCTAGGGTGATTACTGATGCCATAAACAAGAGTGTCAATTTGTTAAGTCAACAACAGGAGTCACTGTGCACTTACTCCTCATGTAGGATCTCTGTCCTTAGTGTGCTGTACATTGAGATTTAATGCTATAACTAGTACTCAAACAGTATTTTTCACTTTATGTTTCTGTGTGGGAGCAAACTGTTGAAATCTTTACTTAATATATGCTAAACTGATCTTCTGTATATAAAGAGAATCAAAAATGAATCTTGATGTGAATGGAAGGGGAGAGGGAGTGGGAAAGGGGAGAGGGAGTGGGAAAGGGGAGGGTTGCGGGTGGGAGGGACAGTATTGGGGGGAATCCATTGTAATCCATAAGCTGTACTTTGGAAATTTATATTCATTAAATAAAAGTTAAAAAAAAAGAAAATAAATTGAGGGATGGATGTTTTACTTAGCAGATAAGATGCCTACATCCCACATCTGACTACCTGGGTTCAAGTCCTGGTTTGCTCTTGACTCCAGCTTCCTTCCAGTGCAGACTCCAGGAGGCAACAGATGATGACCCAAGTACTTGGATCCCTGCCACCAACATGGGAGTCCCAGAGTGAGTTCTTGGTTCCCAGCTTCAGCCTTGGCTTAACCCTGGCTGTCCCAGGCATTTAGAGTGTGACTCGGTGGACGGTAGCTCTCTTTCTTTGTCTGTTTGCCTCTCAAATAAATAAATGCATATTTTTTAAAAACTATAAGCTTATTTTCATGCAAAATTTTGTGTAATTCCATGCACAGGAGAGGTCTTCTTGAAAGTTTATGAAAACACATGTTATGAAAAAACCATGGATAGGTTTCAAGGTATTTGGAAAAATAAACTTATCTTTTAATTCAATTTTTCCACAATCCTTTTCAAGTATGTCCCTTATGTGTATATATTACTAACACTAGAACCAAACGCATATACATGGCTTGGTATGATAAATTGCTGTGTGCAATTCAGACCTCACCTGCTATTTTTATCAGTCCCTAGTCTCCAACAAGTTAATAATTTGAGAAGTCGCGTTACTCAGGTTCTGTGGATGAGGAGGTGGGACAAGATCTTCATGTAAATTATGAGAGAACCTCAGGTCCCCTATCTTAGGGACTAGGCACATTCCCCGGGCCCCTGGCATTGCAGATTTTCAGTGAGTGCGCCTACTGTCACACCCACGCTCCTCCTCGACAGAGGTTGTTTATGACTCGCTCCCCTGTTGCTTACTTGTTCCTGTGCTACAAAACCCATGCATGAAAGGAGGCCCACGTGCTGACTCGGAGCAGAGAGAACAGTCCTCATTTGTTCCTTAAGAAACAAGGTGGCCAATTGACCTGAGCACATCCCCCTTGGGGGAAGGAGCAGCGTGAGCTGCAGCGGGGGTGCTGGGGGCTGAAAGCTGGACCAGGAAATGTCTCACACCTTCCCACTTTCAGAACACTCTGGCACTCACCTAATTTTTTTGTCATGCCTTTTGTTCTGGCGAGTTTTTAGCTGTAGGGGAGATTACATAGACAGCACTAAGCACCAAACATTTATTTAAGGTGAAATAGCGCCAGCTGCCATTTCCATGTCAGTGCAATAGATTCTTTGGGGCCTTTCCCTTCCAGAGTCTGACAAGGCAGACAAAGATAACACCCTGCCAGGACTCCATCCACTATGTGAGGCCTCGCTATTAAATCCCAGGAATGCGCGCCCAACTCCTCCCTCTCGACCGCTCACCGCTCGCCTCTGTGTTTTCGAAGGAGAAGGATCTTGGGTGGGCAAGGGATCTGACTGGGGGAATCGCTCTGCTTGCTCTCCCTTAAAGCCCTGGGATATTTTAATTTTTATCCTTGGTGCCCGGCACTTAAAGCACATGAAAAGTAAAGCTTTAGATTGAAGTTGAAAGAAAATACCAGAAATGGCATTTGGAAGCAATGAAATATGGCACTCCACAGTTGAGACAGGCAATGCTGCAGTAGGAGCTGTAGATTTCACGAGCAAATTTCAGGGTTGCACGGGCCATTAAAAGCAAAACAAAAACCATAATTGCCCTTAATCTCTATTCATTCTGCATGTGCAAATCCTGTTCAAAGGGAGATTTTGAGGGGGAAGATCAAGAGAAAAATAAGCACAAATCTTTGGACAGTGCCAGATTTGATCCTCTTTCTTTGAAGATGTGTTAAGAATAGGGCTGCATCCCGAGACTGGAGCTCTCCTCCAGCAGCTGTAACTAGGTGACATGCTTTCAAAGACTTGACTTTGTTGCATTGTCTTTGCTAGTCCCATCTGGGTCTACAATGCCCTGTTTTGTAGGTGAAATATTTCTGCTGTGTTTTTGGCTCAAGAGGCTGAGCAGGATGATCATGCCTACATATCTGCTTTCACTTCACTTTCCTTAAAATATAAAACAACAACAACAACAAGAAAACCTCTGCTTAAATTACAAAGAAATTAGTTGTGAGCCTAAGGGGTTACAGGTTAGGGGTTGGAGCCAGAGGGAAGAGACACCAGATTGAATCTGATTGTAGACACAGGACAGAAATTCCCCTAGTAATTTGTGATTCTCTTCCTTGGTTCTCCCAAGAAATAACCAAGGTTCTAACTCTGAGTAAAGTTGCTTTGCTCATGCTAATATTGTTTTCTAAGTGTGAGACAATGTAATGCAATGATCTTGTTTTCCAAATAAAACAAATAGGTTCTTTTCTAGATAATGAGAAGTAACAGCATTAGTCTGTGTAGATAAGCATGTGACATAGGAATATTCCAATATACTCAGATTTTATGGTCCCTCTTAAAGAATATTTTGGGCAATGTAGGTCAATGCAATTTCATATTATTTAAGTGGGTTTTCAAAAAGCTTGTAGAAAATGTGTATTATGAAAAATGTGTTTCAAAAAGGCTTGCACCTTTTTTATTCTATCAGTTAGTATTCGCAGACACTAGTGTTGTTTGTGTGATCCCTTTGACTCTACACAGCAGACTCATAGAATGGCAGATGTCCTAAACAGCACTCTGGCCTCAGAATCAGCCCTTAAGGCACTCGGATCTGGCTGAAGAGCCCATGAGAGTATTTTAGGCATGGAAAGCCAAGACACTCTGGAAAAAAAAAAAAAAAGGACCTAAATGAAAGATCTCTGCGAGTGAGATCCCAGTAGAAAGAACGGGCCATCAAAGAAGGAGGTACCTTTCTCTGAAGGGAGGAGAGAACTTCCACTTTGACTATGACCTTGTCTAAATAAGATCGAAGTCAGCAAACTCAAGAGGCTTCCATAGCCTTGGCAACTCATGACTAGAGCCTAGGGAGATTACTGATGCCATAAACAAGAGTGTCAAATTATTAAGTCAACAACAGGAGTCACTGTGTCCTTACTCCTCATGTGGGATCTCTGTCCTTAATGTGTTGTCCAATGTGAATTAATGCTATAACTAGTACTGAAACAGTATTTTACACTTTATGTTCTGTGTGGGAGCAAACTGATGAAATCTTTACTTAATGTATACTGAATTGATCTTCTGTATATAAAGATAGTTGAAAACGAATCTTTATGTGAATGGAATGGGAGAGGGAGCAGGAGATGGGAGGGTTGCGGGTGGGAGGGAAGTTATGGGGGGAAAAAGCCATTGTGATCCATAAACTGTACTTTGGAAAATTACATTAAAAGTTTTAAAAAATGCTTACACCAACATAAAATTATTATTTTTAAAAAATATTTATTTGAAAGTCAGAGTTACAGAGAAGGGAGAGACAGAGAGAGATGTTCTATTTCTGGGCCACTTCCCAAGTGGTCACGACAGCCAGAGCTGGGCCAGACTGAAGCCAGGAGCCAGGGGTTTCATCCGTGTTTCCCACAGGGGTGGCAGAGGCCCATGCATTTGGGCCATCTTCTGCAGCTTTTCTCAGGCCATTAATAGTGAGCTGGTTTGGAAGTGGAATACCTGGAACAGGAACCAGCATCCATATGGAATGCTGGTGTCACATACAGTGGCTTTTCCTGCTACACCACAATCCTGGCCCCAACTTATCTTTAAACTCCATTATTCTTTTTTTCCCTGTTCTTTGCCTAGGGTCTGATACATTATATTTCACACTGGCACCCCCTTATGCAAACACTATGCAGCAAAATGGTCATAATCCATCCAACCTTATTTTTCTTCACATTTACCGAGAACTAGACTGAGTGCTATGTTGATGAGTGAGACAGACAGTGGTAAAACCCTCAGCGTCTCCTCTCCTCTTTTCTCTTCTGCCTCCAGGTGCCCCGTAGTTTTTTTAAATGAGACTTACTGGTTCTCCTAGTGACATTTCTTTTCACTAGACTTCCACCTTGAGACCTTAAATTTTCTCAAATCTCTCAGAATTATAACCAGATTCTCTTTCTTCTGGTGGGTTGAAATCAATAGTTGTGTTTTTTTCCTCCTGAAAAAAAAAAAAAAGCAGACCCTAACGATTGTTCTCAAAGTCAGTAACAAGTTTGGAGGAGTAATGTTTCTCTGTGGAATCAGAGATGGCGAACAAAGAGAAGCAACCATTTCTGGTGTCTCTGGTGTTGGAGGGAAAGCAGTTTTCTTGGAATTTGATTTGCTATGACTTAACATAGGTTCTTCCATTCCATTTGGAGCCTTGTTGTGTGTCTTTTTCTTTTGTCTGGGTAAGCACCGGGTGGACAACTTCTTCACTTTGGGATTCTACACTGACCTGCAGCTCTCAAAGCTTTGTATCTTGCCACTCTGTAATGGATAGGCCAATGAGGGATTCCAATTCCTCTACATTATATCACTTTGATCAGTTAAACTTTAAAGGGTGATTTCTTCAAAAGATGTTGAAAGCTGCTTGAAGTTGAGTGACCTCATAGCAAATACTAAGCTGCTACTTTTCATCAAATTTCCTCTTCAAGGAACATGTGCAACTCTTCAAAACTTTACTTTATTCAAATTGTCACTCCACACCAGAGGATCGCCCCATCAGAAAAACAGAGCCCATCACAATTACCATCTCCTTTACAAAGTGAAAAACTATGCTCAGATTATTGCTCCATCAGAAATGACAATTCCTTATGTGACAGATTGTGACTTAAACCATTACATGAGTTCTTTAGGAGCCTGGGGCAGAAGGGAGTTGGAAACCCCTAAAAACTCAATCAAGTGTAGTTCAATGCTTCCATATGATTGCTTGGCTTGGGAACAACCTGGATTTTTTCTTGGATATTTTCTGAAAAATAATAAGACCATTTGCAAAATATATTGTGATAGAGAGTGGAAACTTAGCTTTATTTAAGAAAATACGAGTTTAGGTAGAGCTAACATAAAACAAGCAATAAGAAAACATGCAAATATTTATCAAATTTCTCTGTGAGTAAAGACTTCCTAAAGTAACAAGAAGCAAGAGGAGTCACACAGAAGAAGACTGGTTAAGTTGCTTGCATATGACTTTAAAAATCTTTATATAGTTTATACATTAAAAACTTTATTTACATTATTAAGACAAAAGAAAAAACAAGAAAAGTATTTGCAAAATATCTAATGGTTCTCTAACCCTAACACCCTAACCCTAAGAGGGGATTCTCTCCTTAATATATATTATATATTATATATTCTCTTCTTAATATATAATATATATTACAATATATAATATATACTATATATTATATTACTCTTGCAAATCAGGAATTTGAATACAGTCAGTCAGACTATATTAATATGAAGAAAGAAAATAAAAAATTCAACTGTTTTAGTCATAAAAAATCCAAAAATTAAAAAAAAACTAAGCATATCAAATAATCAAAAGGAACATGAATCACTGGCAAGGATGGGCATAAACACATTCTTTACCATGTTTTTATGCTTGCAGAAAATTGGAAATAATTAAATGATCACCAAAATTATTATGAGTAAAAATATATAATTGTGCAGTCATTAAATGATATGGTTTAAACAATAAAGGAACATATTCTTGTTAATTTTGAAAAGAATACAAAATTACACAGCCCAGTAAAGTTCCATGTGTATTAATATTACATAGAAGCAATATTAATATGTTGATGTATGCTACTACATAATGCCAACAAATCAATATTTATGCATTTGTGTAACTTATGGAGAATGATGGATTTCTGCCTATAAAAAGGACTACTTACACTTGCATTTGAACTTAATTCAGAGTTGTTCAGTGGGTCCTACACGGTCCTTCTGTTTATGTAAACACCCCAGGTACAATTTTTGGAGCTGATGTCACCCCAAGGATTTCCGAGATCTACTTCCATGGCTCGAGTGCTTTAAACAGCACACACTGCAACAGACTTCCAGTGCAACCAGGCCTTTTGGACAGTGCCTTTGTAAGCTTTTTGGAGAAAAGAATGACTTTTACAAGGTGTTATGAGTTGTTGTGAGTGGACATTATCCCTCATAAATTCAGTGCTCAGATTGGCTAAATATGTTGCCTTTGAAAAAAAAAAAAAAAGAATTACATTGATCTCCAGGAAAGGACACACACATGTGAGAATCAAAGGGCTCTTTCCGATGTGTAAGCCTAATATCAAAGACTGCAGAAGTCTAACCCAGCCTTACAGGTGTCCTGTGCTTTGATCATTAATTAAAATGTGACTTCTACCCACAGTGTCACTTTGGGAGAACTTGACAAAACAAAGTACGTCAGGTACCTGACAATTTCTTATAATGCCCGGAAAGACAGGTGTTCATTCCTGCAAAAGCTTTGAAGCTAAAAATAAAATAAAACAAAATTTAAATTAAAGGATATTCCCAAGCACATGGTAATCATCTTAATACACACATTTCAGGCCTTTCTTCCTCCCTGAGGATGGCGATGGTGCTGACTGTGATTGGGGGGTGGGGGTTAGGAGGTGGGGGTGGGGCCCCTGTTAAAGACCAGCAAAACCCCTGGCTGGAAAGGAATGCAGAAAATGGGGTAAAGTAAAGCCTTGTAAGTCATTTGAGATCAATCGTCAGAGAATGTGTCTCAACGGTGTCATTATCAGATTAATATTTGAGTTTCAATTTAAGCTGGAATTATTTGGATAACAGAAATCAAAAGAAAAGTTTTTACAAACAATTTTGCCTCGGAGCAAAAGAAACGTATCAGAGATGGGAGTTTTGCGATTTTTCACCACACCTCTTGAATTCCTCTTGCTCCACAAAGAACCATGGGCATCCTTGCTTTCATGGCCCTGAATTGTTTTATCTTCAGTCAAAATTGGGAGAAAACAAGATTCTCTTAACTGCAGGTGAGTTTCAGGTGGACCATAGATTTCCTGGTGGAATAATCTAGAGAGCTTTCTAATCATTGTCAAAACATGATTTATTGGGTAAACTCACTCTACATTGAAAATCAGAGATGCCTCTTGGGAACAAAGCAAAAGTTTGCTTCTTTTTATTTCCTCATCAGGTGTCAGGAGTTTCTTAATGAAACATTTCTGAGCTTTGAAGCAGCTTACTTGTGTAGTAGTTGGCAATGCTAGAAACTAAGAGCAATTGGTACATAAAAATATACAGTGAAATATGAGGCTACTTCAAAAAGTTCGTGGAAAATGAATTGAAAAAACTTTTAAATTTAATTAATTACTTAATTTGAGAAGAAAAAAGAGAGTGAGAGGGTCCCCATCTTCTGGTCCCTATCCTGATGCCTACTGGTGCTGAGAGCCTAGAACTCAATCCAGGTCTGGCTTGAGGGTTGCAGAAACCCAATCACCTGAGCCATTGCAACTGCCCCTCAGGCTCTGCCTTAGGGAGAAGCTGGAGCTGGCAGCCAGCATGGGCACAGATCCCAGGCACTACCATGGGAAACACGGGTGTCAAGCACCATCTTAACTGCCGGGGTAAACACCCCAATAAGTTTATTTTGTTTCAAAAACTTGAGAGATCCATGCATACAAGAGGGTCCTCCAAAAGTTCATGAAATGTACTTTATGAAAAGATTGTTCATGAATTTCAATTTTTTTTTGCATCAAAATAAACTTACTTTTTAATTTAACTTGCTCTTGAACTTTTTAAAGTGCCTTCATACTTTGACTTGAAGCCTGTATACAGAGTGGAAGCAGACGTGAAGGGCTTAGCTGAAGGGGAGCTGTAATAGGATTAATACGGCCAATAGTTTTGGTGAGAAAATGACTCTGGTCCCAGCATAGAGCACTTAGGGAAAGCACTTCTTGCAGAAGTAGGAGGTGGGAGGTAAGACAATGGGTTTTGTTCAGACTTTAGCTAGGCCATTAACATCAGGTTGTATCTTCTACATTCTGGGTTGGGAAGACAGAAAATACATGTTTTGTAAACTGCTACAAAGAAATCAGGCTGCAGATGAATCATTGAATTATGGGAAGGCAAGACTTACAATAGACATATGTAATATTCTTATTTTTATTTAAAAATAACACATTTGTGAAGAAAAGGAAAGCCATAACAGGTGGGTACCCGCAAGGAAAGCTATTAGCAACATGCAGACCTAATATCTTGTAAAAAAAAAAAAAAAAAAAAAAAAGAAACCCAAAAGCAAACAAATCAAAACAAAAGAAACAGAAACAAAAACCAAAAAACCAAAATTCTATATAGAAAAGAAAACACAGGCTGAAGATTGCAACACAATGGTTACTAAGTCCCTTATTCCATCAGCATTGCAGTTCTTTTTCCTGGAGTTGTTTGTTTTATGTTTGCTCATAGAAGTTATCTGTTTTCAATACATTTCAGATTTACAGTAATTCAATTTCCCATTTCTATCCAGATATTTTTATTTATTTAATTGTTTGAGAAAATGAGCGAGCCCCCATCTATTGGTTTCCTCCCGAAATGCCCATAACAGCTGGGACTGGGGCAGGCAGAATTAGGGAGCCAGGAACTCAATCTGGGTCCCCTAGAAGAGTGGCAGAAATGAACTACTCAAGCTATCACTGTTGCATCCCAGCATGCCGCATAAGTCTTCTTACTACCCTATGCCACAGCACTGGCCCCTCAAACAGCAGCTTTTTTATATGCTAATGATGAACTCACAGAGAAATCATGAAAGAAATTCCATCCACAATAGCCACATACACACACACACACACACACACAAAACAAGTATTTAGAATAAATTTAACCAAAAAAGTGAAAGAGCTCTACATTGAAAATGATCAAACATTAATCAAAGAAAGAAATCATCAAGGACACAAAAAATGAAAAAATATTTCTTGCTCATGTATTTGAAGAATCAATATCATTAAAATGTCAATACTATCAAAAGCAGTCTATATATTTGATATAATCTCTATCAAAATAACAATTACATTCTTTACAGAACCAGAAAAAGTAATCCTAAAATTCATATGGATTCATGAAAGACCCGGTTTAGCCAAAGCAATCCTGAACAAAAGTGGGAGGTTTCATAGTAGCTGCCTTCAAAGCATATCACAAAGCTATAGTAACCAAAATAGCATGATAGTGGCATAAAAAATGATGCATAGATCAATGGAACAGAACAGAGAGCCCAGAAATTAATCCACATGCATTCAGCCAACTGATTTTTGAAAAAAATGCTCAGACGGTACAGTGGAGTAAAGATAATCTCATCAACAAATGGTGCTGGCAAAACTGGATGCATATGTGTTGAAGAATGAAATTAGATCCATACCTCCCACCATATATAAAAATCAGCTCAAGGTTAACCAAAAACCTAAATTTAAGAGCTGAGACTATTAAGTTGCTGGAAGAATACAAAGAGGAAATACTCCAAGATGTAGGGAACAACTTCTTGTGCAAGACCCCAAAGCACAGGCAACAAAAGCAAAGAAAACAATCAATAGAGTGAAAAGACAGCCAACAGAATGGGAAAAATACTTGCAAACCACCTGACAAAGGATTACTATGCCAAATATATCAGCAACTTCAAAAACTCAACAACAAAAAACCAATCAATCCAGTTGAGCAATGGGCAAAGGATTTCAATAGACAGTTCTTGAATGACCAACAAATATATGAAAAAACGCACAGGATCACCATCCATCAGGGAAACGCAAATAAAAATCACAAATGAGACACCAGCTCCCCACTCTCAGAATAGCTAAAACCCCAAACCCAGACAGTAACAAATGCTGGCAAGGATGCAGGGAAAGGAGAACTCTTATCCACTGCTGGTGTGAAAGTAAATGAGTGGAGCCACTGTGGAAAACAGTATGGGGAGTTCTTAAAACGCTAGAAATAGGCTTGCCATATGATCCAGAAATCCTTCTTCTGGGTATGTACGCAAAACACTTGAGCACAATGTATTGGAGAGATAACTGCAACACCATATTTATAGCAATCCTGTTCACAATAGCCAAAATTTGGAACCAACTGAGGTGTCCATCATCAGACAAATAGGTACATAATGGAATATTACTCACCTGAAAAATGGAATTCTACCATTTGGAGCAAAATGAGCTCAACCAGAGGACACCATGTTGAGTGAACTAAGCTGGATCCAGAAAGACAAATACTGCATGTTCTTCCTTATCTGTGGGAGCTAAAATTAAAAAAAAAAAAAAAAAGCAAATGAAAAAGAAAAAAAGCCAAAGAAATGTCAAGAAACTTTGTCTCCTGTCCTCTGGCCTCTCAGCATGGCCACACACTCTTAAGGTCTGCTTCCTTCTATATCTTGGTTACATCAGGGAATTGGATTGGAAGAAGTTCTAGGGCGCATATAATGCTGCCCCAGGCTATCCAGACCCTGAATGCAAAAATTTCATCTAAAATTGAATTTTGGTGCAAAGACAAATGAAGTCCATGCATAGTTTTTTCTTCCACAGCTTGTCCCAGGTGTATTAGCAGGGAGCTGGCTGGGAAGTGGAATAGCTTGGACTTGAAGCAGTGCACTTATGGGATGCTGGTGTTGCAGGCTGTGACTTAACCTGCCATGCCCACATCACTGGTCTATGTTTTTTCATAATACGAACCTTTAACGAAATTTTGTATGTATTCACAGATGTCAAAAATTTTTGACAAAACTAAATTTATCTTTTAATTCCATTTTCCATGAACAACACTTTGAAGTGCCCCTGTGTTCCATATAAAGTTGAAATGGGTGGTGAGATCACACCTGGAGACAGTGGCTAGAAAGGAAATGCATTTTGGATTTGCTTATCTCACTCCTAGAATGAAGATTTTCCTTGAATTTTACCTAACAACATTTTCCTTGTAAACATTAAGTCTGCTTGATTAAGGAGCCAACAATTGACTTCAGAGAAATATAGAATGCTTCTGAAACTTTCTGCTGACAGACACGTCTTTGACTTTATGCAAGGTCATGTCCCCATCCTTTGTCAGCAAGCAAACGCAGTCTCTCGGGAGCTCTCTTGTTATTCTTTTATCACAAAAGCAGCCTTTCTGAAGAGCGACACTCATTGTGTTGATGGTGATAGTACTTCCAAATAATTCTGTATGGAGCACATTCTATGCATCCGGCACTTTACTGTGAATTGTACATTATTTATATCACTTTGTTTTCCAAGAAATCCTATGAAATAGGTATTTTATGACCATTGTACCAATAACAAAATTAGGCCTCATCATTTGAGCTAGTTCACATTATCCGAAAGTGGTTGACAAATATCACAAGCATCACATGTCTCTGTTTAAGCTGGTTTATGGGAGAACACATACTTTATGGAATGTGCTTTCCTTACTCTTTCATTTATACTTCTTTCTTTACAGATTTATTTATTTGAAAGACAGAGTGACAGAAGTAAAGATAGAGGTAGAGGTAGAGGTAGAGGTAGAGGTAGGGATAGGGATAGGAATAGAGATAGAGAGAGATAGAGATAGAGATAAAGATAGAGATAAAAGAGAGAGAGAGAGAGAGAGAGAGAGAGGGAAAGAGAGAGAGAGAGATCTTCTATCTGTTGGTTCACTCGCTAAATGGCTGCAATAGCCAGGACTAGGCCAGGCTGAAGCCAGGAGCCAAGAACTCCATCCTGTTTGCTCATCCTGTTTGGCTCCTGTTGCAGGATCCAAAGTGTTTGAGCTATCTTCCACAGCAGAAAGAGGGATGGGAAGTGAAGCAGCCAGGACTTGAACCTTCCAAGTGATGTGGGGGTGCTGGCATTATAAAGCAGCAGCTTAAGTCATGGTGCCCCAAAGCTGCTTTCTCAGTATTTCTCAGAGGTACAAAGTACTTGTTGGATAGTAAACCTTCCATAATGTTTCTTGAGCTAACCAATGAAGTTCCAAGAATTTCCATGATAATTGTATAGCAAAGTCTAGAGACTTGTCATATCTATCCTATGGTGGGGTGTGATGTTCCCTAGAATTAAATGTTCAAACCTTCTTCCCTTTTGTGATTGAAGGTCATGGAAATGAGGTAGGGTGATGAGATGAAACATTCATTTTACATTCAGAAATGTTTTGACTTTTTGTTTGTTTGTTTGCTAATTACCAAATTGATTTTGTTAAGTGGATACGATTTGAGTACCAATATCCCAGCATGCTAAAGAAGATGTGACAACTGAAATAAAGGGAGTTACTCAAAATGCCAAGAAGAAATTTTTCAGATCCTCTTTTTCTCACTCCTATCCTGACTATAACTGAAATGTGGTCATCAAAGATACTCCAAAGTAAAATTCAAGAATGTTCGGGAAGGTAGAAGTACAAAATTAGTCAGAAAAGAATTATTAAACAAATGTCAGAGCTGAGTCAAAAAGTACCTTAGAGTCCACCAGTGGGTTCAACTGAAAAAAACAAAGCCATTCAAAGGTGGAGACTTCAGGATTCTCTCATTGGGCAAGAAAGCTGTGTCTTGAAAATTTAGAATTATGAAGTCATTTTAAATTTTATTGAAGTTATACAACTTTCATATATTTTATATATGCAGATTTATAATTATGACATCTTGATGAGTTATGAATTATGAAGAATCAATCTTTCAGGGCTCTGCAGGTGAAGTAATTGAGTCTCGCGGAGTTGGGGAGACGTGGGAAAGTGTGCAGGCTGCATTAGTCTTCCACTCAGTGCACATTATTGTGCATTGGTCTCTTCTCTCTATTTCTACTCCCTTCTTGTTTATTTCTTGAAGAAAAAGCAACTCAGCACAATGAGAAAATTTCGTCCAGCGGATTCTATCTGTCAACCTGCGCAACTGAGCAGGTGCTGCACAGCTGAGCCCGGGATCTCTTGAGTATCAGGAGGCATTGCTCTTCCCACATTCTGAGAATTCTGGACTTTTATTGGTTACTGAGGTGAGAATGATAGCACATAATGAATTTGTAACATGTTTGAATGGCTTTTTTTTTTTCTTGTAGCTGGTGACCTCTGTGTAAGTATGTAGTGTAAAGATGTGGAAGGCTTTGCCATCATTGCTGCCAGAGCTTTTATGGAATAATGGAATACAGGGAAATATTGGAAAGCCTAGTTGTGTTACTGTTTTCCTCAGGTATGGTAGAATTTCCATCTGTGGGCAGAAACAGCATGCTTGTCTTCCTTGCAGTTGGGCCACAGTGTGTATTTACAAAGTTAAAACTCTGTGGAGTTTCTAACCAGGGAAAGTGTGTGCATTTACCCAAGGTGGACTAAGGTTGCCATTAATTTGCTGATTTGCAGGGTGATTAAATGCAAAAAGGAAACAGAAAGAAACAATTGCAAACAGCTTGGGAAAACGTCCTTTATCCTTTCCAGAATATTTCTGATTTTTATGATCATGAACATCTGAGCACTTCAATTACAGATCCTACGTTTCAACGACCAGTTTAAATTAAACACATTTTTTAAAACTCTCACTCGTAAGTATTGACTAAGTAAATTTTATGCATTGTAGTAATGATGAGAAAGCAACCTGGTCATGATCAAGTTGTCAGCGTTTCCTTCTTTTAAAAACACAAATAGAGCCAGGGATACTTTCCTTTCTCAACTCCAGGTCACCCATCCCCACTCTGGCTCGATTTTTTTTCCTCTCTCTAGAGTAAGAAGCCTAAGGAATGATACCTACTTTCATATTTTGAAAGATAACATTTTACGTAGGCTATTATAAAATATTTATACCCAGATTTTAATGATTTTTACTAATTTGAATGCCTCAAGATTTATGAGCAGAATACAAGCCTAAAATTGATTTCATTTAAGAATAAATATATCCAGTGATCTTTTGAGGGTCTTCTCAAATCAAAGTAGATTCTATAAAAGTTTGGATTGAGAGGTTTTTTTTTTAGGAAAAGCTCTAAAAATCTATCCAATCTCAAATAATTGGCTAATCGAATGTTTTTGTGCTACAGTTGCTTTGTTAAAAGAGTTGGGGGTTGAGGAGTGGGAATTGACAGTGTACACTTTGAATCATTTATTATTGCAAACATTTTGTTTAAAAGCAAGAGTATTTTTTAGGGACAAAACACAGTTCCTTACTGGATTCTCTGTCATCATATTACGTTACAAACTGGAAGTATATGAAGAGTTTTTAAAAGTTCACTGAGGCTCACTAGGCTAATCCTCCACCTGCGGCGCCGGCACCCAGGATTCTAGTCCCGCTTGGGGCGCCGGATTCTGTCCTGGTTGTTCTCTTCCAGTCCAGCTCTCTGCTGTGGCCTGGGAATGCAGTGGAGGATGGCCCAAGTCCTTGGGCCCTGCACCTGCATGGGAGACCAGGAGGAAGCACCTGGCTCCTGGCTTTGGATTGGCATAGTGCGCCAGCCGTAGCGGCCATTTGGGGGGTGAACCAACAGAAGGAAGAACTTTCTCTCTCTGTCTGTCTCTCACTTTCACTGTCCTACTCTGCCTGTCCAAAAAAAAAAAAAAAAAAAAAAAGTTCATGGAACATGCATATTGTGAAAAAGCTATGCATGAATTTTTTGCACCAAAGTAAATTTATTTTTAATTCCATTTTCCACTGGTTTCTTTTTGAAGTATTCTCATTTACCCTTTTTACTAATTTATTTCACCAAAAATTACAAGATACTGTGTGTTAGAAATCATGCTACATATGTGAGAAACAAACAGTTGCACATAGTCCCTACTCTGGCATGAAAGAGCAGAAGATGGAAGGAGCTCCAGTAATCAATCGTCCATCCTATAATAGATTTGGTCTAGGCATCCATCTGTACTGGGCTCTGGGGACACAGCTGGGAGCGAGCCAGGCATAGTCTAGGCTCTAAGGAAGCTCAGGACAGAGAAGCCAGCACTGAACTCGGGTACAGGAGAACGTGGCTCTCTCGGTTGGCGTAGGGAACTCAGTCTTGTTGGGGGAGTGAGAGCAGGGTGCACTAAAGGAGAATTATTTAAGCTGATTTCTGAAGTAGGAGTTACATCCAGGTTCTAACTCAGAATCTGGGGTGTGTGTGTGTGTGTGTGTGTGTGTGTGTGTAAAAGAGAGACAGAATGTTCCAGGCACAGGGAACAGCTTGTACTAGGGAAGTGAGCTTGGGAAAGTGCAGGTCCATCCAAGAAAGCTGGAAAACCAGGTGTGCCCAGTAAATAGAGAGGGGAGAGAGAGAGAGAGAGAGAGAGAGAGAGAGAGAGACTAGTGCCCATTCATGCCTGCTATGAAAGCACCACATGGCTGTTTCCTCTCGACTCTACTGAGTTTCCAGATTAGTGTCACCATCATCAGTTGCTTGCAGCATGCACTACCCGAGCAAACAGTTCCACAGATCCCAAACACAAAGGCTCCAGGTAGCTCAGCCTGCACTCAGGACATCAAGGGATTTGGTGTTCTACCTCAAAGCTTTTTAGTTAGTTTTACAACCATGTATCCAAATAAAACCCATGTTAGTGAAACACTAGCCTCTGGTTTCTGGCTCAGGATTCCAGTGTTTGCAGACTTTTTTAAAGCGGTCTAGGTTGCAGTCTTAGTTTGTCCCTCCCCTCCTTTAGTTCTTTGAGCAAACCAGGTGTTTTGAGATTGCTCAAGCTTTATAGACAGAGGTTGGAAAGAGTCCAGGTATGACGCACATGTCCTTTCAGGAGGTGGAAAAGGCAATAAACAAAAGTGTAAATCAGTGTTTAAGAGTAAATTCGTGGCAGGGGTGAGGTGGGAGTGGGGGTGGGGGAGGGGAAAATCCCAAACATAAAAACCTCTGAACAGCAGGGTCATGTAGGAAGTCTGTCCCTAGTTGAGCCATCAGAGCCCTATCAGAGCTGAGTTTGATAATTCTTTGCATTGGATCAGTTGTGTAAAATGAAGGTTCAGGTTTATTTACAGAGGGAGATAACAATTTTGGGGAAGAACCACGGTGACTTCAGATTTTTCAGATGAAAACAGCACACCCAGATCTCAACATCATCTGTAGATATCATCTTCTTTTACCCTCCTCCCATCCCCAAAGAAAAAATAAATAAAGCGCATTCTCTGGATCTTTTGGATTACTCGCTAGGTATAATTAATATGTCTGTTGAACTTCCTGTGTGGGTGGCACTGGTTAACAGTTCAGACAGAAATGTTTCTTTCAACACTTTGAGCATCATCAGTCATTTGATTCAACTCTTTGGCACGTCATCAGCCTCTGCTTCATGGGCTTGTTTTCTTCGATTTTAGTGAATTGGGGGGGGGGGTGACTATGTTCATAGGTATATCTTGAAACCATACATATGAGACCGCTTCAACAAGTTCATGGAAGATGGAGTTCATGTATGAGTTTATTTTAGTGTACCAAGATTTTGTTTCTCAGAACGTACGGAAAATATGTATTATAAAAAACTATGCATGGATTTCAAAATCATTTCTGCACCAAAATAAACTTAAAATTCTGTTTTTCCCGAGGTCTAGGATATGTAACGGCATGCCCCCAAACTGGAGCTCTGCAAAAGTAGACCCGTGTACATTCTCTCGTGAGCTCTGTACTTTCACTTGCTTTCTTTAATGCAATCCAGAATTCCCTTCTCAGCTCAGGTAGAGAGAGCTGGTAGGGCATTCATTATATTTATCTTTGCTTATTATTTGGCTGAGTAGAAGTCGCTGGTTTTCTGAAAGCCTGGGCTACAATACGATGTCATGACTTTCAAAAAGGGTGAAGATAAACCATTAAATATGCTAAAAACACAGTTCGCCTGGACAGGTAAAGCAAATAACCTGCAGTGTCAAATGCTTTGGAGACCAATTCACTTGTTTCCAAATCCTGGTCTACTATTTATTATTTGTTTACCCCTCAGAAAGTCATTAAAATGTGCAAAGTCTCAGTTTATTCCACTGTAACTGGATATGACACATGCTGTGTGGTGGTTGTGAGGACTGGTGATAACACAGATAAACTATTTACCCATTGCCTGTCTGTGTAGCACTAAGTACTTCATAGATGACAGACACTGTCACACCTAATAGTAATGGAAAAATAACATATTCTGCACACCCAAATATGAGGTTACTTCAGAAAGTTCATGGAAAAATGGAATTAAAAGATTGAGTTATTTTGATGCAGGGAATTTTTTAAATCCATGCATAGTTTTCTCATAATATATCTTTTCCTTAAATGTTTAAAGGACTCCTCATATCCTCACTGTGAGAAATATCACCTTTAGAGAGTACCTTTGGTAGCAAAGTTCAGTTGTCCCCCCATGTCCATGGATCCTTGGTCCCAAGACACCACACCCCGCCATGATGTGTATATGAAAATCCGAGTATCCTCAATTCTATTATACAAATATTTGCAGATAAATCTATGCACATTCTCATTTAAAATTTAAAGCATCCTTAGATGACTTATAATATTCAATACAAAGGCTGGCGTTGTGAAGCAACGGGTTAAAGCCCCAGCCTGCAGTACCAGTATTCCATATAGGCGCCAGTTCAAGTCCCGGCTGTTCCACTTCCGATCCAGCTCTCTGCTGTGGCCTGGGAAAGCAGTAGAAGATGGCCCAAGTCCTTGGGCCCCTGCACCCACGTGGGAGAAACACAGGAGGCTTCTGGCTCCTGGCTCCTGACTTCGGTTCAGTGCAGCTCCAGCTGTTGCAGCCATCTGGGGAGTGAACCAGCAGATGGAATACCCCTCTCTCTGTCTCTACCTCTCTCTGTAACTCTGTCTTTCTTTATAAAGAAAGTCTATATTTATAAAGATTTCCCCCCAATTATTCAATGAGTTATTCTTTGGTCTCTTCAAGAATTGGTTCCAGGAGCTCCCATTAATATTAAAAATTTGTGAAGCACAAGGCCATAATATAAAATGGTGTAGTATTTTTTAATCATCTCTAAATGATATATACCATATAACACAATGTAAATTCTTTATACGTGGTGGCTAGTGCATATTGTTTAGACAATAATACACGAAAAAAGCCTACACATGTTCAGTATAGTCACAAATTTTTTTCATTTTTCAAATGCCTTTGGTTTTTGATTGGTTGGATCCACGAATGTAGGTGAACGCACAAAGGATCAACTATATATTAGGTGAAAACACATGAGCTTTCCTATTCCTTTGGAACAAATCAGATTTCTGGGATCAAGGGTCCAACCTGCGTCCTTTGCAAATTCACCAAGTTAATGATATCTCAGGAGACAGTTTGTTTGTGTCCCCCAGAGAGACATAACCACTAGCCTTGTTACCGCCTATGTGTGACCGCCTCTTTGTATAATTGGAACTTTCAAATTACCACGCCCCTGATCATGACTTTCTAGGCAGCCATGCTGCATTGTTCATTCTCTTTGACCTTGCAGTAAAGCAGAGCTTGTGTAAAGGTATTTTACACAAAAACCTAGTCATAGAAAGAATTTACAGTGTAACTGATCAAATAGCATACATTTGTATTGGGTCTGTTATTCTGTTTATTGCGATTCCAGATTCTATCATTTAGTTCAGAGGCTGGCAAATTCCAGCCTGTGGACAAAATCTAGGTAGACATCTCTTTTTGTGAACAAAATTATTAGCTATTTCTTCCAGTTTTTGGTTATCTGAAAATGAGGGAAACTGTTCTGCAATGCTTCTAATTATGTTGCCTGTAGAAGTATTGGGCACTGGGGCTAAGAAACAGATATGAGAGTTAGTAATACAAGCATTGTAGATACAGTCATCACGGTACCTTCAATGTGCACAAACTACTCACATTTATCCACGTTTTTCTGCTTCTGTTTATGGTTGGACCTCATTTCTCAGCCTCCCTCGCAGCTCCATGACTGAGTTCTGGGCTGTGGAATGTGAGTTGGTGGCATAGATGTGAGCTACTTGTAGGCATAGGGCACAAGAACTCTCTCATTCCTCTCCATCTCCCCATCTGCTGACTTCTGGGTACCCACAGGAGGAACAGCCCCAAAATGGAAGGGGCCTGAAGCGAACAATGGTGGCATCAATTAAAATCTCTCCACTATCCCTCGTTGGATTGTAGTATGTGGGGGAAATACTCGTATGTCTCTGTTTTATCTAGCAATTGTATTTTGAGAGTTGACTTTTAGAGAAGATAATCCACTGTGGCTAATTCCATGATTGAACCAGTTTTTGTTCCTCAAATAGAAATGAATAATATATGAAACTCAGGAAATGTGTTGTTTTGAAAATTTAAATACAAGATCCAAGTGACTGTTCATAAAGGTAAATACCATTTATAATAACTGTTATTGGGTCAACCATTAAACGCTCCTAACAAACCCTTGTTCTATAAAGTTTTCACCAATTATTTGTTAATCATCCTATTACTGATGCTCTTCAGTTCTCAAGAGGGTTGATAACATGCTCGATATTCTATAGTGTTATAAGTGTGACTTTCCCTTTTTAGGAAATTTGGATCCTTCTGGTCTCTATTTGCGATTCTCATTGGCCTCTTGTTTTGACCACGTCCCTTCAGTCTTTTGGACATGGCTGGCCCAGTCTGGAGAGTTGGCTAAATGTGTTTAGTGGCCTCTTGCTATTCCTTCACATGCCTCTTGACCATTTTCTCTCTCCCAGTGGTTCTAATGCAGCAGAGTTAGCCTACTGCATGTCTGGGTCTTAGACTTTCCTTGCATGGATTTTACTGGAAAGAAATAGAAATTCCCTCATCTCTCCTTTCCTGTCTGTCTTCCCCCCATTTTCAATATTTTTTTAACATGCAGAATTATGAAATTGCAAATTTCTGACTGTGGTGAATGAATTAAATATTTTTTTCTCTATGGATCATGTTGTTTTTCTATTCCTCTGGGCAAGTTACAATTTAAAAAAAGAAACAATAAACATGTGTAAAACAACTTTGAGGTTATTTCTTGAAAGTTGTTGAAAGCTTTTCTAGGGTTGGATTTGCTAAGCAACAGGGTGTGAATTCAAATATAGACAGAGACAACACTTTCCTGATATTTAAAAACAGTGCTCTGAGATGTTCTGTGATACCAGCACTTCAGGAAAGTCTCACTAAGAAGCCCTGATTGGCTGAAATGGCTTTTAGTCCACTGGAACTATTGGATGGTCTTTTGCAAATTGCCACAAGGAGGCTGCTGTGTGCCAAAGCAGCCTGTTCAAAGAGAAGACCTTGACATTTCTGTTTGCCACTGGCATATGAATTAGTGTGGATGAGATGCCAGCTTTGATCACAAGCTTGGGCTTACGGAAAAAATTAGCTTCCTTGATGTTCACAGGTTGCATATACTTGAGCCATCTCACATGCAGAATGGTGAGGGAGAGGAGAGCAGGGCGTGGGGCTACAGACCACCAGATTGGAAATCACTTCACATTTAAGTGTGCACACCCTAATGTGTTAGGATCCAGTGGCAAATTGGGTGACTTTAAACCTTTCAGGAGAGGCAGCCTGATGGGATGGAAGGAACACAGGACACGGAGGCCAACCCGACAGCCCCACCCAGGCTGTGTCTTCTTCTTAATCTAGAAGAGGTGAGTCAGAACTCCTACAGGCCTTTGGAGGATGACATGAGAATCAAATAAGAAAATGACTTTAAAATTGCTGTGAGAGTTTTTTATTTTAAGTAAACAAAATAACCTGGTTTCTTTCTTTAAGGAGGGGACTAAATGAATAGATGAATGGTTTTCATTTTCTTAGAACAGTAAAACAAAAAAAATAAAAGGGCCTAAGATCTCACTACTGTCTTTCTGATCCTGTGCTCCAATTTATTTCTTACATAACTGCCCATCAAAAGTGCCATTACAATCCATCCAATGTCTGGAATAATGTCAATCAAAGCCTTTGATAATTTGAATTCCCATTAACTTAACAAAATCCCTTTGATAATTTCCTAGTACATAAAGATGTTAAGATGTTTCAGTTGTAAGAGATCACTTGGGGAAATTGCATTTCTCCCCATAAGCTGAAAAGATAATCTTTCCTCTGCTGATACATCTGGTACTGGTGATGCCTGTGAGGATACTTATATGCTAGGCAGATATTTCAATGAGATTAAGACTGTAAATTCAGTTAATTTTCTTCCCATAATGATTAGGGTCTATACCCTGAACCCCAACCAAGTAGCTATGTACTTTGTAAGTGAATGTTCCTGCAAAAACCTAGGCCATAAAAAGGAAAATGTGATTTGATCATTTATTCAGCAAATCTGCATTGAATACTCTTATATGCCATGTACTCTTAGAGGTCCCTTTCCTAATTTGGTTTAGAGACTTGAGGTAGAAACAGATACTTCTTAAGTAATTCCTAGTATGATGAATGTTATGAAAAGAACACACATGGCCAGGATACATCCATCACCCATATTTGAAGAAAGGCCATCAATGTCTACATCATTTTCATATATAAAAATTCACATGCTATTATTATATTTATTATTCATGGGGCAAGGTTTCAATTCTATCTTTTCAGAGCACTGAGGTTATTCCTATAAAGAACAAGGGATTTCACATGCTCAGGGAAAGAGAGGAATCAGACACCATTTAGTTCACTGGTAATTGTTGCTCATCACTTCTCTTAAAAAAATCTGCTGGAGCTGGGTGCTATTTTATTTTAGTCATCTTCAGCCATGGTTGGTGTGCTGAAACTATGCCAGACTGAACATTGATACCAGGTGCCTGTCCTAGCAGAATCCAATATCACACCTGCAGGTAGAGTGTAGGATTACCTCATGTGTCGTGCCTAAGCACCACAAATGACTCTATCCCTCATCTCAAATAACATTATAATTTACACTTGGAGGCTTCAGACTATGTAGCCTTGGCCAAATGAAAGTTTTTGCAGCCAAACACATCAAACTCAATATATTTCATTGTGCCAATGGGATTGTTTTCTTGAGAAGGTTGAACATAATTAAATCTATCAATGGCGTTTCAAATAAAAAGTACCTGTCCTGGAAAGGTAGGCTTATAAACATTTGGCTGTCAGTTAGGAAGATGCCAGAAAGTTTTGTGTTGGAACCCAGAGGGAAAAAAAATAAAAATGAAAGGACTCCAGTGTGCTACGGGAATGAAATAAGAGTTCACAGATGAAAGGAGGAACAATGACATCTTTTGTTTTACAAAAATGTCATAGTTGTAAAGGTATAAATTTGAAGTTGGAGAATGGCTTCAGGCAAAAATGAAAACTCGTCCCAAGTCAAACATTTTCCCAGCTCCAGGACATAACCTACAGTAATCTTCTCTGAACTTTTGGAAATATTGTGTGGATATTTCAACACCTACTCGCCCCATGCGTTCTAATTTTCACCTTTGCACTTTGGTGCTTGATGTGCTCCTCTTAGGAAGCAGTCATTGTCACCTGCTTGCACTTTGATCCACTGGCTGCAAAGCAGCTGCTCTTCTTTGTTCAGAAAACCACTGCAAATGTTTACATGAATAGAGGAAGGGAAGAATGTCTTCATTCCCTTCCTTCCCCCACCAACTTCTTCAAAGGCTTGGGGGAGCTCTCCACCTGGCTATTGGGTTTCCTTGACTTTCGGATTCTTTCTATGGTTCTCAGATTCTCTATGGAATTGCCCTTGCGTTTTGAGTCTTTCAGCCAGGCTTGTTTGATGTTTAAAACTGGTAGCCAGTAATCTCTGTGGTCTTCGGTTTCATTGTACGGATGCCAGAGAGAGGTCTTTCCCACCTCAGCAAAAAATCACTCCCTCCTGAAACTGCCTTCGCTTTTTACTATTCCCTCGATGCTGCAGGGACACTGGTTGTTTCCTGCATATTTTCATGTGGATACTGAGGATGTAGGACACAGGAAGTGAGGATGCTTTTTGCAGTCTGTAAAATATTCTAATGCAGACCCCAGGGCAATCTGAAGGGTCCTGGAAACTTTGTGGTTGGGGGGGGTTGTACTGGAAGGAGGTTTGAAAACAAGTATAGGACAATTGAAAAAGCATTAAAATGAAGCTTGATTTCTATGTTCCACAACTCCTAGCTGTTGGGGAAGCTGCTTTATCAAACAGCACTGTGTAAGCTAACTTGGAAGAATGTGTGTTACCTGCTGAACAAGGAATGATACACATGTTCTCACTAAATCTTTATGAGCGAGTTTTACTTCAAGAATGTTTTCTATGAAATTATTTTTATTGATGCTCTATCAGGGAACTATGTATTAGGCAGCTTTACTGTGGTAACAAACAATCTCCAAGTCTCCATGGTTTCCAACAGTGTTTATTTTCTCTTGACATTCCATGCTGTTGACTACAGTTGATGGTGGCTGCCATAGTCCACACGGCTCTGTGTGCACTGCCCCAAGTACCTTTCCATTCTTGAACGGAGGCTGAAGGAGCAATGTCTGCTTGGCAAGCCATCCCTCACGGAAGAAGAAAAATGTAAGAAATCTGGGGGAGTTGTGCAGCAACCAGTCAGCGCTGCTTCCATTCCATTAGTCCAAGAAGGCTCCATGGCCAGTCTGTCCAGCAGCATGGGGAGTCGTACTCTGCTGCAAGGAGGCACTGTGCGCTTCAGAACAATGGACAGGTTGTGTTTCCTCTTAGAGGGAAAGGAATGAGCAGTTGGAAACATCATGAGGCTACTTCAAAAAGTTCATTGGCATTGTGACACAATGGAATATGCAGCTGGCTGTGACATCAGCACCCCTGTGGATGCCAGTTCTGGTCCTGACTGCTCCACTTCGAATCCAGCTCCTGGCTGATGCTCCTAGGAAGGCAGTGGCTGATGGCCCACGTGCTTGGGCCCCTGCCAGTCATGTGACAGGTGGAGCTTCTGGCTCCTGGCTTCAGCCTGGACCTGTCCTGGCCACTGTGGCCATCTGGGGAGTAAACTAGTAGATGGAAGATCTCTTTCTCCA